TTTGCCGATTAGGCATTTTATTAGCCAATCGTGGGGTGCAGCTTGTGGTCTCGGCCAACTTTGATGGTTTATCTCGACCCGGGGAGGAGGTTTACTCCACGAGTCATTGTTTGGCCTGGCCTTTGGGCGTATAATAGAAACTCAATTAGGCAATCAACGTGTTAGGCGTATAATTCAGTGATCACCCAACAATTATATGATTATCGCCGAGTTGACTGATTTCAAGACTTGAGGACAAGATCTGGTAGTGGATTATTTGTTAGGTCTTTGCCATACTTGCCCTCAGGCCCCTGACTATTAAGGAAGTCGTTGTTACTCTAGATTGAAAAGTTCTACACCCTCGACGTTCTTGTCGAGGGTGAGCTAATCGATCTGTATTCTTGTCGAAGGTGGACTAATATGAATTTTGGCCACAATGTATAGAATTGAATTTTTTGTGGGGTGAGGAAGCAAAAAGTCAATATTTGGATAGCTTTAGAGAAGCTTTTATTCAGACAGAGTAACGAAGTGATCAGCGATGGAGAGGTCGGTTGAATCGCCCTTTTTTTGATCGATTACAAGAGAGAGACGGTCAGTTGTGCCGCCTTTCATTTGGAAAGGAGGGAAGAGAGGAAGCATTTTTGAAAAGAACCTTTATGTGAGATGACTTTATAAAGGGATGAGGTTCAGAGGTAGCCCTTGATGATTGCCTCTCCTTCTAGTGCCAATTTGTTGACAATTGACCGCAAACGGTTATAGTTGATATAAATTAGGCAGTTTAATCGGAGGTTAAGATGTGTTTTTATAGTGTAATTGAGACTATAAATCTGGACTGAATATGAACAAATTTTCACTAACTAAGAAGGTAAACATGCGGAAAAAAGAAATGAGGCGCCGATGTTGTCGGTCTGCTGTGGAGATCGACAAAGAGAGTGGTTCTCAAAAAATTTTTTGAGGGATTGTACAAAAATGTGTTACATGCATAAGAGTGTGTAAGAGCTACGTAAGGGTAGTATTTTTGGGTAGATCTGTTATGTATATCTATGGTGTTGTTTGTGTTATGGTGTTGATGAATTTGTTGATGTACTTTTATATAGCCCGAAGGGATCGATATTTATACGTAATAGTGAGAAGGCAAAATATGTTCAGTGTCAGTTAGGGCCATAAGGTGGCGCAGCCTGTATCAATGTAAAACTCGTCATTTGAGGATGAGACAACTTGCGGTGGCTTTTAAACTTTATCGGTTCGTTTTTTAGATGAGAAGAGACTGCCAGTTTTTTTTAAAAGACTCACAGAGAGGTCAACAAGGACTAACGTCTGCCCATCGAGAGATGGGCAGACCTTAACACCGCGTCTTGGGTTGTGTTGTGGAGACTGGAGACTTGCGTAGGTCCAATTGCGTGCATGAGCTTTGCTCTTGGTGGTACGACCATTACAAATTATCAGTATAACATATTTAAAATGTTATCTTTTTATGTTTATCTCATTAAGAAATTTTTTAAATAGATAACTTGTTTTAATGGTTTAGCTAACACCTCATTAATTTTTTTTTTAATAGATAACTTGCTTTAAAGGTTTAGCCAACACCTCAATATCGCGTAAATAAGTAATATAATAGTAACAAATTTAATATTTTTCCATAAATTAATGGGCCATTATTTCTTAATGATCATTATATAAGTATTTGTTATAAATATATTAATTTTAAAGATATAATATACTCATTTCTTATAATATTATATATATATATATAGGGTCACGCTCCGGTGAGAATGACCCTTAATGCGAGAAATAGGAATAAATTATAGCCATTAGATATTGTAATTAACAACACCAAAAAATAGTAGGACCTACAGACACCACACCCAACTGCACGACACGTCACCCACTCACCCCTCCCTCCTTAACTCTCTCTCTCTCCTCATTAACTTTCTCTCTAATTGATTCATTACTTTTGTCTCTCACACACATTCCCCGTCAAACACACACACCCCACAGTCACACACAGTTCCGCCGGCAGCCCGTCACCTTGTGTGACAGACGGACACCACGACGGCGCCGTCGCCAAGAATCCCGCCGGCATCGCGCCTGTCCGACGTCCGCAACTACAGTCCGCCGTATGCCGCCCCCCCGCCGGAAATGGTGAGCTCCGGTACAACGCCGTTCGTCTCGCCGTCGATTCCACCTTCTTCGGCGGCCTCCATGTAGCAATTCATATCCGCTAGATTTCCGTCGCGGAGGCCGGCACCATGTCCGCCGCTCCTGATCCACCGCCGCACCTTTCTCTCTCTGCCCGACCTCTGCCGTGCTCCTCCATGTCTCGCCACTGACCAGCTCCATCTTCCGCCTCCCGCCGGCGTCGCCGTCCATGTCCACGGTTGTTCATCCTCACCCGCTATTTCCGGCGACACGGCCGTACCTGCTCTTCCCGCCGCCATCTCTGTCCATCTCGGAAATTAAGGCTGTGAAGATGAGATGGACATTTTATTTGGGACATTTTTTTGTGAATTAGACAATTTTAAGGGACATGTTTGCAATATAGAAAATTTGAACTACACATGTATTAAATATTACAATTTAATAGGTGTAATGGGTTGGTGGGTTGAGGCTTTCAAGACTTTAATGGACTCTTTATGTTAATTTAAACTATCATATTTAATGCTATTTATATATTATAGTTGTATATATATTTAAGTAGTTTGAAAAAAGCAATAAAATGATATATTATATAAAAAATATAAATACCAAATATATTTTTATTATATAAATAAATTGATAATACACATTATGTTAATTGAAAATATTATTACAAATTTTTAAATTGAAATGCACATTATTCATAGGTTTCAATTAGGTTGGAAAAAAGTTCGGTCCTTTCACATTGTACAATAGCGGAGAAAATTGTGCAGAGTAGTGTTTGACAAATTGCACTTTAATGATTGACGTGTTGCACTTTTATTCTCGTGAGATTGCACTAAATTCTTTTATTCGAGCTTTTTTTATATGTCGGTCCAATAATTTATTTTTTACTTTTAAATTTCAATTATATCGGTTCGATGTCGACTTTATATTTTAATTTTTTTATATATATTGTTCATTTTTAACGAAGAATACTCTAAAGTATTAAATAAAAATAATAAATAGCAAATATATTGTCATAGAAAATATTTACATTTCGAGTGCACATTATTGTTGGAGAGATTGCACATTAATAATTGTCATATTGCACTATAGCAACTTAAATATATAAACAAATTATATGTATATATTTTAGGTCTTTACAACTAAAAAATATTAAATAAAAATATTAAAAACACTAAATATATTTTTATAATATAATTATAAATTATTATTTTTATTTAGGTTATTTCAGTTAACTGATCAAATAAATCGAATATCTCGATTTGAACTTAGTTTGGGACGAATCATTAAAAAAACATTTGTACTTTGAATGCACATTATGATAGACACAATGCAGATTATTGATTGTCAAATTGCACATAGCGACCAAACCGACCGAACTAGTTGAGTTAATTTGATGTACAGTTATATATACTAAAATATAGTTTTCAAGAAACAAATACTTTATATGTGATCATATAAAGTAGTGCACTTTATATATCAGAATATTGCACTTTATAAAATAACACATTGCACTTTATAAAACAATAAATTGCACTTTATCACCACACTCCACAGTTAACATCAACAGCTCCTGCCAAAATACCACACAATATAAATCTTAACAACGGATGTACGTAACACTTTAACATCAATCACATCAGTTATCCACACAAAACACAAACATGATAATGTACCAAAATTACAGTACTTCACTTTATACATCAACACGTGGCACTTTATAAAATAACACGTTGCATTTTATAAAATAATACGTTGCACTTTACATAACAACACGCTACACATTATGATGACTATCATATTGTGCAAAAGAGCTCGAAACCAACCGAACACAATTTTTTCTGACAAAAAATAATATAAAAATAATAAATAAATTATTAACATATTAAATATATTTATCATATTAAATAGAGAACAACCGACCGATATAAAACTTTCATTTCAATTTTTTTTTTTATATATTTGTGTTCGATTACTTGTTTTAAATTTAAATTTTTTGGTTTGGTTCGATGTCGTTTTTATTTTACAAAATAACTTAAATAATCGAACTGTCAAAATTATATAATTATATATATANGGGTGTTGCTGTGGCCGTCGAGCTCGCGCCGTGAGCTTTGGACGGGCTGAAGGCATCGGCTGCCGGAGGCGGCAGCAGGTCCGTCGAGGGCGACGACAGGCCGGCGGGGTTTGCTGCGGTGGTGGGTCGTGTCAGCCGCCGGGATGTAAGCCGCCGGCATGTGGTGGCTGCGTGTGTGGTGTGTAATTGTGTGTGTGTGTGTGTGTGTGAGAGGGAGAGAGGGAGAACTGGAGAAGAGAATGAGGGAGAGAGGAAACGTCACTTTAATTATAGGAGTGGGGCCCACTGTTTTTTTGGTATGATAAAATTACACAAATGTCATCTGATGTATTTATTTGCTCATGCATTACTCATGTATTTACAATTTTGCCCTGTTCATTTGTCCATTGTTATTTAATTTTGACTTCATCATGTCCATTGATATAGTTGATCCCATGGTTCAGAATCATTCTTATTTCTCGCATTAAGAGTCATTCTCATATGATCCCTTACCTATATATATATATATATTATTCTATTTTTACCCAGAGCTTTGCTACTTCAAGAGTATTAACTGAAATACGCAAATTCCCAATATTAGCTCCAGTCCGAGTGGGTAATAATGCAAGTAATTATGATGATATTTATATGGATCATTATTATCAATATCTCTTCTAGTCATTACATTACGAAAGGGGGGGTAAATTTTAACTGATAAAATTTTATTTGTGTATATATTCGCAAATACTAATCCTATCAGATTGTAAGAGGATTTGAAATCGCGGCAGAAACTTTTTTAATTCGGTAGAGTACACTGACGACAGAATTAAAGGTTCACGATTATCAATGTCTAATGTACTATTTAATAATTAAAGAGAGAACCAAAACTCTATTCACGAGAATCGCATTTTTCCACAAACATAATCACAAACACCAAACAAAACTAAAACACACCATCTAACGAGGCAAACGAGTTCGATTTCAATTTTTTCAAAATAAAAAACGCAAAAGAAATTTAATTAGCAGAGTCGCCTAGATTTGACTGTTCACATCGACTAATCAACGCCAAAGACAATAGCCAAAATAGTTAATTTGTTCTTTCGATCGGAAAAGTCAATATGAGTTGATTTAAGTACAAAACAGAAAGCAACAGGTACTGGAGAGTAATTAGAGGACAGTGGGGATGCTGCAGTCGATATCGAGGGCTGTTAAGCTGCCACGTCATCACACTTCTTGGACGGGGCGCAGATGAGCCAGACGTTGCCGTAAGGGTCCTTCACCTTCCCCACGCGCCCACCGCACGCGCCTTCACCCTCAGCGATCTCGCCTTCGGCAACAGCACCGGCAGCCACTGCTTTGGAGACGGCAGCTTCAACATCACCAGTCTCCAGGCAGAACACACTTCCGGTCACAACAGATTTTACCCTGATTTTCAATATATAAAATGGAAAGTGATTAGATATATTTTGTAACAAAATATGTTTAGAATTTTCGTCACTGACACTGCAGAGAGGATTTAATGACCACGACAAATGCATGCATGACCGTATAGTTATGGCTATCAGAAGTCATAGAAGACGCGTGACCGAACTACACCTCTACTGAGTATATAACTACTATGGAAAAAACAACTAAAGCCTTTCAAAAATAATTATAATAGCAATACACATTTGATAATAAGAGAAAAGCAGCTCAATGTTTGAAGCAAGGAAAGAAAATAAAACAGAGTAAAGAAAATTAAAACAAGAGGTATCAACACTTTCAAAGAGCAGTGGACAACGCAAAACGACTAATTTAAACAATCATCTCATCTCAACCGTGCTATTCTGATCATTTACCCGGCATCAGCATATAAATACTGACGATTACCTTAAAAACAAAGACAAAACACAAAATAAACACTGAAAAAACTCAGATCTGAGCAAAATACCAACGAAAGCCAAAGCGAGAAGGTTGAAATACCCATATCTCATAATCTCAACAAATAATCCGCTAAACATGTCTTAAATACAGCAGAGACAAAAACAACAAGAGAAAGAGGAATAAAATGGAAGTAGACTTACAGAGCAGAGGCGTCATCAGTGAGGTCAGAGACAACAATAACAGAGGTCCCAAGCTTGAGCTCGGCTGAGAGAACGAGAGGGATCTCTTGCTCCGCCTTCCTCTTGGGATGATTCACGCTGCTCACCTCCTCGGCTCCGAACGCCGCCTTGTAGAATTGAACGGCGTCGTTCGCCTTAGGCGCCTCCACCACCAACCACGGCTTGACCACCGCAAAGGCCACCTCTCCCTTCGAGCCGTTGTCAGCTCCAGCACCGTTCTGCACCTCTTGCGCCATTTCTCAAGTGAGAGAGAGAGAGACAAAGAGGAGTGATGAAAACCCTAAGAGAGAGAAACTAGGAAAGGAATAAAGGAGTAGCTAGAGAGAGAGACGAGCAGCAATTTATAAATGACAGATGAAGGTGTGTGTAGTTGGGGAGTAGGGGACATTTATAGGAAGCGAGGAAGCGGAACCGTTCAGGGGCAATTCGGGGATGATAATATTCTGTGGATTTCGGGGTAGGCCCTTCTTCTTGTACTTTATTTACGAGTTTCACCTCTAGGCCCTTCTTCTTGTACTTTATTTACGAGTTTACCTACAGTAATTTACCTCTCTTTTTGTCTTATTAACGGCCGTGGCCCGTGCCACTTGCCCACTGCTTTATCTGCAAAGTAAATTTGGGAGTCTTCGTCCAAATCTTTTTCTAATGGTAAGATTATATTTAAATTTAAGTTATTTGCAATTAAATCCCCACTGCAATTCTATACCCACACTAATTTATTCTAGTTAATCCCCCACCAATTAAAACAAAAAACAAAATTTTCATTATCAACATTATATCATCTCTCACATTCTTCTTTATTTTTTTTCAAATACCAAGCACACAATAATTCCATAACTCTGCAACTCACCAAACCAAACCTCGCCTTCGCTTAATCAGCAAGGCCGACCCATCCGTATAAACTCCACGCCAGGAGCGGATTTGCGGCCAGCTCTACTTGGGTTGTAGCTCAAGTGGTTACAAACACTAACACATACTTATATTTTAAGAGGAATTTGCACCACATACTACCTTATAATAATTATATTACATATTTAACACCAATTAATATTTATTTTGAAATTTGCAACTTCAACACTAAAACATTGCACATATACCAGTTTTTAATGGCTGAAGTCAATCTGTCAAATTATGGAATGCTTAATTAATGACTAGTGCGCATCCCGTGCGATGCACGAACGAGTTTGTTACTTAAAACATTTTTAAAAAAATTATTTTAAATATAATTATATATATATTTAACATCTCATTATTGCAAGAAAGAAATACAAAATATAAAAAATTATGTATAATTTATTTGAATATAATGAGTGTCTCCAACCAAACCAATGATATCCAACACAGATATATGATAAAATTAATTATATGAATCGTAATGCTTTTTAAATATATATAATAAATATGAGATATTTAAGTTTTGTATTAAAATTTGTAATTTGGATATGAGATGAAAAATAGATGTGTACAAAAAAAATAGGTACCAAGAATCCACATATTATAAGATTCTTTCTAAACTTTAAAAGATTTTGTAGTTCGATACATATGGACAAAAAAATCATCAACTAAATTGAACAATCCAAAATATAAAAATTAATTTTAGAAATTAACATTCTTTTAGATAAATATGAATTTTAGTTGTGGCCATAAAATATGAGATTTTTAGATAAATAAATATGGATATAAAAATATTTAACAATTAAGTTGTCATGACTTTTCGAGAATATTTCAAAAAATTTCAAACATTTTATTCAGTAAATGATTAACCAGATTTTTGTAACCAAATTTACACGTTTCACCGAATAAATTGAAGGAAATAATAGATCGGATTTTTTGGAAGCAAGATTTTCAAGTTTCATTCTCATTATTCATCAGATCTACCCGTAGAATTTAAAGAAATCGTTCCTCATATTTTTAGGAATTAAGGTTTACATAATATATTTCTCAAATAACAATATTTTTTGTAAAATTTGAATTCGAATTTTCATTCAGCCGTCATTTTCAAAGAAAAATACTAATAATAATAACTTTGAAAATTTTAAGCGGGAATTTTAGTATTATTTCAAGTAAGTCCTCTCTCTAATATGTAGTAATAGATATTAATTATATTTAAAAAATGTGGTTAGATAAATGTGGATAAAAAATATTATATTAATTATTTTGTTAGGAATGTGATTATATGAAAGTTAAGATAAAATGAAATGTATTAAAAAATCTTGTGATATTTTTTGTTAAATGTTTGAATTTAAAAATCTAATACAAACTTTAGATTATATCACATAAGAAAAAAAATAAATAATACACGTTTATTAATATATTTAAAATATAAATTTTGATTTCAAATAAAGTAAAAGGCGGGATAACTCAGATTTGTTATAGAAAATTTTTAAAATGTTTATTAGTATTTTGGTAACTATATCGATAAGAATAATCGTACAATTTTAATTTTTAAAAATTTGGTAAGTTTATTAATGAGATAAATTCTTTTAGATAAATGACTAATTAGTTAAAAAATTTGTGTTAGATTAAATTATAACAATTTTTTTTATTTATTAAAAAAATATTTTGTAATAAATTAACCTTTTGATTACATTAATTTTATATTTAAAATTTATTTTTTATTCAAAAATATTTTCTGTCAAACCATTAAATTTTGAAGATATCGATCGCCATATAATCATAAGATAAATATGCAATATTTATTTTATTATGGTAAAGGATAATCGCACCAAATTAAAAATTAAAAATGAATACTCATTATTGTTTAAGATATTGGATTTGCAAAAGAGGAAGAAGAAAAAGAAACAAAACTAAATTTAATTGTTTGTTGCATTATTCAAAAATGATGTTTACGACATTATATGTGGATAAGTTGGGATAAATATCAATCAATTTTTTCTAGGATAAATACAAACATTAGAAATATTTTTAGGTTAGATAAATATGAACATAACAAACTTTTAAAATTTGTAATTGATTTATATTTTTTTTTCAAACGTTTTTCCTAATTTAGTGGATATGGTCAAATTTACATACATACACGTTTTTTTTCATGAAGAAAAAGTGGTTCCATATTTGAAGGAAATTAGAATCTGTTAGATCATGTTATCTATAACAAACCTATTATACACGTTTTCAATTGTATGGGCGGGACATGTTAAAAAATTCAAAAAAAAAATTACGAAATATATAAGCAGGAAAATGACAATTATGAAGCGGGAAAACGAATTAGTTTTTTTTCGAATTGTTTGAATAGTTTTTCTTAACTGTATTATATAGTAATAGATTTTCTCCTTAGATATTGGAACAAAACCGCCAACTATATCTCCCAAATCGAACAATATCATCCCAAAAAATTCCCCATTATCTTTCTGCAAAATCGCACCGCCGAGCTTGCAAAGGAAAGAATTATTGCTATTACTGGTATTATAGGGAGCCATCCTATCAAAGCTTTATCCACAGATTAGTCTCACAGGCCTAAGAGACAATTTCTTCCATTGATCTAGTCTTTTGCTTCAACTCTTCAAAACTTAGAAAAAAACCAATCTGCCTACAAACTCGATCAGCTTTAATGGGATACCCTTCGTCCATTCATTCAGGATAAAAAACGGGCCTAATTGAATCATCTCATCGAGGATTGCATGTGAAAAGTTCGGATCTTCGAAATCCCCAATCGTTCGTTACTGAACCTAAAAACTCGCTGCTTATCTCTCCCGAACTTCTATAACAGAACGAAGCGAAACGTGGGCCCGGGGCTTCTGATGACTCTTTGAGAAAAAACGGGATTCTTGATGGATCGAGTGGCGGTGGCGTATCCGAGATGGAATTTGCGGATCTGTTCCAAGATGACTGCCGAACCCATGTAGTTGAAAAAAGCAGGAATGCCGAGAATTAGGGTTGAAAATTTCCCAAATGTATATTATCCACTCTTTCAGCCCAACTAATCCTATTTACCCTTTTGAAAAAATTGCGATATGAGGCTGGGTGGCTTCTGGAAAAACCATGTGCATTTTTTTTGGACTGTGCAATTTTTTTTTTTTGGACTGTGCATTTTTTTTTGTGTGAAGATGGGTGAAATTTTTGGACTGTGCATTTTTTTTTCCAGTCCGCGCTTTCTTTTGCTCCTGTCTTGTGGTGGGTCTGGAGGCACAATAAGAAACATGTTATTAATTTTTCATCCCCTCATATTTTATCGGTCCCCTATAATTGGAACTTTGCAGTTTTGTATGGTTTATATTTAGTATATTTTCGATATATTTTTATCCCCTCATGTTGTATCGTTTTTGTATCGTTCCCCCCTGCTATTGTATGGTTTATATCCAGTATATTTTCGCTATATGTATGGTTTATATTTACTAAAATCATGAAAAACATATACAATATATATACCATCATTGTGGTTTGTATTGTAAGTATATATACTGACATTATATTTTATATATTCATTATATACCATGATTATGTTTTATATTTTACGATAATCATTGAAATATATACAACACATACACCAACATTTTTTGATGGTATATTTTATGTATATATATTAAACATATACTGAATATATATTAACATAAACGATATATATAACACTAAAAAACTGTATATATACCATTAAAAAACTGAAAAACCCATTTAAGGAATTATCAAAGATAAAACAAAAAATATAAAATAAGAAAAATGAACCCAATTTTTTTTTTTGAGGTTGAAAATGATGTAGTAACTGCCTTTTAGACATTAATGTAGTTAAATATGATCTTTTACAACGGAAATCAAGGTATTGAGGTTGTAATGGATATGGTAACTCTTTTTAAGCATTAATGTAGTTAAATGTGGTAGTTTAAGTAAAGAAATAATTAATTACATTTACATGGTAAAGTTGTAAATATTTATAAATCACATAGGAGATATGAAATTTCCCCTTTTATTAACATGTTTTGAATTCTTATAGTATAGCTCGGGCCCAATTTAAATAAACATAAAACTAGCCCACTAGCCCAATAACAAATACTCCCTCCTATTTTTTTTAAATGTCATTTTGGCTTTGTTAACAATTTACTAAATAAATGTCGTTTTGGATCTTTTATACTACCTCATATTCTTTTTAAATGTCATTTTGGTTTTATCAACTATTAACCAAAATAAATATCGTTTTGGATCTTTTGTACATATTTTTCTATTATTACCCTCATTTAGTTAATAAATACACTACGTCTTTTCATATTTTCTTCATCTTTTTTTTTTTTAAAAAATATCCATCTCTATCTCTATCTTCATTAATGAGGATTATTATTGGCAAAAAAATTATTCTTAATTAGTGTGCAACTTCCCAAAACGATACTTATTATGAATAGGAGGGAGTACATATTTTTCCATTATTACCCTCATCTATCTAATAAATACACTAGGTCTTTTC